AGTGGGGGACACACCAAAACTAAACACTTCAATTCAATCAAACCCCTTCTACGCTTCCCTTGCACAAATAATAATAATTGAGGACTTTGACATGATATAAAGCAAAACCATATAATAAATGAATAAAGCAGACACAAACACAGCAACAGCCTCCTCTTCTTCTCTCTCTCTCTCTCTCCCCCCCCGCTTTCCTTTCCTTTCCTTTCTCCTCACTACTGCTCACTGCCTTGTGGTGGTGGTACTGCATTTTGCTCAGAGCGTGTCCTGTTGAGTCTTTGGGAGTCTCACCGCTGAGGAAAAGGGTAAAAGTTGAAAATAAAAAGGGCAAGACTTGCCTTCAAGCCCACACGCAGCTTGGGGTCTTGTTTCTCTTGAAGAAACAGAGCACTCTGCTTCTGAAGATGCCACGCCCAGGCCCCAGGCCATATGACTGTGTTAGAAGAGCTTGGCATAGTGACACGCACCAACCCATCAGAGGAACCCTCATTCAAGAATTTTTCAGGTTCTTCCCCCCTTCTCCCCTTGTGTTCTATGTGTATATGTCTCTTCCAATACATTCTAATCTTTGGTTTTCTAAACGCTTTAGGGTTGTCAATGATATACATGGCCCTGCTACGAAGAAGAATAAAGAGTACCAAGAGAAGCTCCCTATTGTGGTGCTCAGGGCGGAAGAAATTATGTACTCCAAAGCCAATTCTGAGGTAATTTCTGTGGGGAGGAAAAATAGGAGAAATTTCACTGTAAAATTTTCATTTTCGACAGACGGGAAAGGCAGTATTGTATGATACTGAAAAAGCAAGCAAACTCGTTGTAAATTCTTCGTACAGAAGTCTTCTCCTTAACCTCCTGCATAACTATCCTTGCGTAGGCGGAATATATGGACCTTACAACACTCTTGGTGAGAGCAAATGACGCCATTGATACAGTAATTCGACGCGATGAAAGCACCGAAACTGGAGAGCATCTCCTGCCTTGCATTGAAGGTAAAGTGTCGCTTCTGGCTTCAAATTACTCAAATGAGAACTGTATTTGTATTTTTCTTCAAGTGTTTAGTTCTGTGCCAGTTTAGCCTCTTCCTCTGTAAAGAAGAGAGATGAAAATGGTTTATTTTTCGTTGGGTAATGTTCCTTCAACGTTTGGTATGATTCAGCTGCTCTGTGTCTGGGGTGCACTCCTGTAAAAGCTTCAAGGAGTCAACGCAATAGCCCAAGGTGTTATCTAAGTCCCACGGTTCAAGAGCCAGTACAGAAGCCTGCAAGAGGAGTTCATATAGCAAAACCACATTTTGTATCTCCTTGCTCAAATTTTGTGAAATCTACGCGTCTGGGTTCTGAATATCCAAGGTTGGCTTTCCGGAATAATGGTCCCATTCCTTCCTCTAACACATCGGCCTTTGTATCTGACCATTTCCCTTCAACTAGTAAAAAGCAGTGCTTGGAATATCAACCATTGTCAAACTTGTTTTCAGTTTACCCCTTGTATTATGGGAATCATCTCCCAGTTGATGAATCCCATCATGGTTCTACAATCTTGCATAAATCCGTTTCTAACACTTCCGGACCAGCTATTGTAGGTGGTGTGGGAAATCACTTGGCCTCCAACGTCACAGCTTCGAATCAGAAACCTCAGTCGCTCAAAAGGGGTGATCCTGATCAGAACCAACCCACAATGGGATGTGATCTGTCTCTCCGGTTAGGTCCTCTCTCGAGTGTTGAAGAAAGGAATAAGCTCAGCGGTGAAACTTGCCCAAACGATAAGAAATTCTCTTCCTTTGTGTGGGACAGACCAACAGTTCAGAAACGTAAGGCAAATTTCATTTGTTTGAAGCCTTAGAAATCAGGTGTGAGAAAAGTTGAGGTTTCTCTCTAGATTAGCGTTTGCGTTACTATGCCTCTTCAAATGGCAGTCCAATTATGTAACTTTGAGGATTGTCACGGCTATGTTTCAGAACACTCCTAAGTTAATGTAAAGTTTTGGGGGGATTTCGGGGTGTTTCTGCAATGAAGTTAAATTTGTTATGTCGCAACTTACGTAGCTTGCTTACTATAATGTCCTGTTCTATCTTCTTGACGTACATATAGGATGCCTCTTGCAAATTTGCTGTGTAAAATTTTCGACTTTTGGAGAATACTATAATTCATACAACAGTTTTAACATCAATACAATAAGGTGATATGTATATTTGGATGTTTGGGTGCTGGGTTAATCAGCTTTATGCATCAGGCAGACAGAAGTTATGGTATCCAAGTGGGAAATCGGGGAAAGAATCTCAATACTGGAGCTGCCCTACCTTAAATTATGCTGTTTAAGGAAATAATCCGGAAGCAATTAGGAGTGGTATGTGCGGGCCCAATGGGGTTCGTGGTTAGTAAAGTGATTGAAGAGAACTTAATTTGGCCTTTGGTTATGAAAATGGCGGACAAGGGCATCTCACTTTGCCATATCTAAGCATCATCTCTACTCTAAAAGTAAATATGCCGTATGGGCACGAGGAAGGAATGGACCACCTGTTGCTGTATGAGGCGTTATTCCATTCGGATGGAAAATGAAATGATTAGTGAATGACTTGATAGAGTACTTATGTCTGCTACTTTGCTTAAAGCTTGACAAGTGTGCTAGTTGGCCTTGCCCTCCCTAATATATATGCTTTACAAATGAATTAGATGAGGTGGAAAATTCAAATATATACAAAATATTTTCGGGCATAAATTGCTTCTTCAAATTGGCAAAATCAAATGGCTCCAAAGGCGCACATGTTACAAGAAAAAGATGGAGACATGCCTGAGTCTCCTGATATGTGTTTTCAAATGGGCAATCTTACTACACAAAGTGGGGAATCTTATGCTTTAGGAATTAGGAGACAAATATTCCAACACGACAACCTTGTAGCTCCATTCATTTCCATGCTTCAAGAGGCATAGGACACGAGCAGTTAGCCACCAGGGCAAAAGGCTTGACGTTTTGCATTTGGTAGGACTGAAAAAACCAAGGCCTACCGGCACAGTTCAGCTTCTAAAGCCCCACTTGAAAAGAGAGAGGTCATTGTAGAAGACGTGGACAATGCAGAACTATAATGGAACTCAATCTGCAGGAGCCGGTGAAGATAGGGGCTAGAAATCGACCCTTTCTTTTCCTCTTCCTCTAAATACTTCAGTGGTAAGGCTGCAAGAAAGCGTTTGATGAACTCCTTGCAGCAATCTTTTCCACTGCAAACTAACTTGAGCTTTTCCTTCTCACTCACGAGACTGCTTCTGCTGCTGCTGCTGCAACTGCTGTTATTACTCCTCACTGCTTTATCTACTTCTTCATACATCAAGCTTGAATCATCGAACTTCAATATGAATGCCTCTTTGCACCCTTCAAAAAGCCTTTCTCCCAAGGAGTCTATAAGGTAATAAGCATCTGCTTCTAGCTTCAACACGAAGAAATGATCGTTCCAACTTACAATATAGATCCTTGGCTCGTAATCAACCACATCTCTGCTTATCTCATACCAAATTTCATCAAATGACATAGCTCCCCTCAAGGATCGAAACTTGTTAGGGGAGAAAAATCCTGTATATGATTTCCCAGGAACAACAGACAGAGGCCTCAGCTTGGCTTCTATGACAGTCTCAAGATCAAAGTGGTTGTCTGGGAAGAGCTTCGAGCAGGCATTATCCTTTTCACAAAGCCTTCTCCATTCAGAGGAACCTTCCGTGATGAGCCTATCAAATTCAGGTCTTGTTGGCATGTCTTTGTTCGAATGAAGCCAGTGGGCTACCAGAGTTACAAGTGCTGCACAAGCACTCTCGCCGGAGGCTTGTTCGCTTCGTTGATCAAACGAAGCAAAGAACACGCTAGTGTTGAGCTTTGCTTTCCCATCTCTGCTCATCAGTTCTTTCTTTTGCCATTCTTCGCCTGGTTTCTGCAACAAGACGAAACGAAAACGACCGTAAGCCTCTGGAAAAAAATACTAGTAAAGTTCAAAGTAAAGAAGGTGATGTCATTACACTTATATGCTTATGTCCATACCGTAGTCAAAGTCTCTCGGTGCCTTGTGGTCGTGGCTCCAGAATTGAATCCCTTGAGGTTATTATTCCAGGACAAGTTTGACAAATTCCTTTGGACTCTGTCCAAACAATAATCTGTTTCTAACTTGTTCTTTGGGTTTGACCTTGCTGGGGCGTAAAAGCCAAGGCTACTCCCACTGCTTGTGGTACTTGTACTGGTGGATGATTTGGACGAGTCATCTGAGTCGAACCACCGATAGTCTTCTGAATCATATGGACTCAGTTCATCAATCTTCCTCTCGTTTTGTTTATCCTTGAAGGAGACCGAATTTTCGGGGGTTTTACGCAAGCCGTGAGAACTATTGAGCTTCAGAAATCTCCCAGAAACCTGTTCAAAGTTTCATCAAGAAAGTTAGTAGATGTAAATGTACGGTCAAATTTGTGCGGAAATTTTGCAGCTTTCAAATTGAAGTCCTATTCACGTAATAAAATAAGGACAAAGGCAAACAATTCAAACAAGAAGAAAAGGAAACCCCATAAAGAAATTCTTCCATAAACTCAGTCAACTGTACGATCGTAACGTGATTAACGTATGACCGCGAACTGTAGTCCACAACGTTAATTCACAAAGTCAATCGTATAATTATGAATTTGAAAATCAATAATTAAAATTACAAAATTTTTTAGAAAAATGTTAACCATTAAAATTATAAGTGTGAACTTTGAACCACCGGGAAAAAAGTGGTAAACCGACCACCCATTCGAGACTCATCCGCGGAGACGAAAAGAGTGATTGACGTTATAATCAATGGCGAATTGCATATAACCAAAACTTATTTGACCCAAAAAAGAGAGAGAGAGGTCATAATCGTAATAAATTAAGGGGGGAAAAGGGGGAAATGAACTTGGAACATACCGAAAGGGTGGCTTCTATGGCCAAACCATTGATTCTCAATTCGATCGGAAGCTTTCTTCTAAGCTGACAATTGGACTTCGTCTTCCTCTGTTCCTCATCGAGCAATTCCGCCATCGTCAAGTCCATCGAAACTTTTCCGACCACCGCCATTTTAGCTCCGGCTTTTCCTTCATTGCCCTCTTCCTGCATTTTAATCAAATTACAGTGAGCGAAAAGTTAAAAAGAAACAGAACAATAACAGTTGATCAATAAATAATTAAAAACAAGACACGAAAGCTTACATATAAGACATGAAACGCCATGTCGCAGACAGCGGAGTCACCTTGGAGGACGACATGAAAATCTTGGAGGTCGCGACCCTCCCACGAGAGCGCCGGTGATTTTCTGATGGGTCTGCGGCGGGTGGTGAAAACGCACCGTCGTTTAGACTTGGGAAAAAAGGGAAGAGCAAAACGTGAGGTTGAGCCAGAAGAATCAGGTTTGGCAGCAATTTCAATGGCCATGGCCTCATTGCCACGCACCCTGGCGCCGAACAACCCCAATTCAAGCCTCAGGCGGTTAAGCCTCACCTCGTACTTGTCGCTCTGCTTCGACAACCTCGGCTTCCAGTACTTCATCTCGATGGTGTCGCCGTCGGTGGTTGATCTCTCCGTCCGTCGTGGGCTGAATCAAAACAAATAGGTAGTTTGTCTGTTGGAGAAATGAAATAATGAAGCCATGAGGGTACAGAAATACGAAGCGAAGGGAATGTGACGGATAAATGCTAAGGCATTTTCAATTCTCATATATATGGTCTAAGGACTCGGGAAGGAACGAGTCAATACATAACACGATTTTATCTTTTCTTTGTTTCCGAGTGAGAAGTGGCCTTGGTCTCCACACGTTTATCAGCCCACACGCTTGCTCTTATTATTTGAATCACGTGAGCTCAACGTGCTTCGTTTGCAGATTAGGTGATGATGTGGGGACCTATCGTTGGTTTCTGATGATTCGACAGAGGAGTTGCCACGTAAGTGATGACCCCAAAAACGACACGACGCGTACACGGAAGCATGTGCTACTGTTGTCTGTCCTGTGTCCGTTTCTGCTTCGCTCTTTTCGCAACGCCGTTTTAGCTATTTTGGGTCAAACAAAAAAAGTGAAGAGCTTTACATTTTTGGACTCAGCTGAACACTTTTGTATAGTTGGGCTTAGTTTGGGCGACGATTTGTGTGATTGGATCGATTTGAAAAATTACACAATGGAATGCATAATATTGGATAAATATTTTCGATAAATACAGCTGGACAAATTTGGAGATACATAGAAGAAGAAGAAACTTCCCTTAATCGGGTCGAATAAACCAACTCAACAAAACATCAAAAACTCCCCTCAAACGACTTATTACCATTTGAGTGGTTATTACAAAATCGATACTGTGAAATTTTTCCTCTCTCCTCGGTTTCCTCAGCACAGAGCAAAAGGTGAAAATAAACAAAATTTGGAAAGAACTATTTAAACCTGCTGAAACTTCATGTTTTAATTGTTGCAAATGTTGTTGGGTTAGTATTTATGTTAATTTACTGTGATGTGTTTCTCCTTTCAGATATTTTGCCTCCGATTTAATCTTGAATCAGGATTAATTGATGATTTTATATGTATTGTTTTATGGCTTCTGCTAAATAAATTGACTTCTGTAAAAAAAAGAATATTTTTTAATATTATTAATAATTAATATGATCGTTTGGCGTGAGAAGAAAAGCCCACAATGGCCGAAAAGGAAAGGCGCGTAACAAACATATTACCTAATGCACTTTAAGATCATTCCATCTTCACCTTTTTCCTTCTCATGGTTTTGTTTTGTTTTGTGGTCGGAAGTGAGAAGATTGTTGTCATCTTAAAGGTGCCAAATATGGATTTTCAAACACTCCCACCATGGCAATAGTGGAGATTCGGTCAATGTATTTCCAAACCTAACCCCATTTCCATTCATCTTTCCTCGCTGTCCCTCCTATTCACATTCTCGTCCAATCCTGTGCTTGATGGTACGGTAATACTAATAGTTAAGGTATTGGCGGCTCCCATGTAAACATAACAGCGCGAGCAAAATAGACAAACCAAAAAGAAATATTCTTGGTAAGCCTCCAGATGGCAGCCAAAAATATATTCCCGTCTGAAACTGAGGAGGATGAATGAATTTTCATTGCTAATCAGATGAAGTCAATGGGGGCTTGTGAGGGATGCCAATAGCGCCAGGACACGATGGGAGTGGCTCATTAGATGCTTCGACAGTGCTATCCAGAAGCCAAAGGGTGTGGTACTCAATCTCCTTCACACCCACCTTGATACGGCATCCTGTGGTTAGTTGTCCACGTCTAGTTATTTTGTCACTATATACTGTTTGTTAGTACGTCTGGTTAATCATCGCCTCCTAAATATAAGAGTTAATTAACTAATTTGAGTAAATTAACAAAATAAATTAAGTTAGTTACTTGTAATAAATAGTTATTGTCTTTTATAAAATATCCTTACTAATCAAGTGTATTGGTTAAGACTATCATTATTAAAAGGATTATCTTGAAGAAAAAAAAGCATAAATATGAGAGACAAAGTGAATTAGGATCTTATATTTAGAATCAAAATAAAAATTAAACGAGGTCTAAAGACCGAAAGTAGTATTTATTCTTTGATTATGTTAGATACCTCTGCATGTTAGTTTGTTGGTACTTTAATGTAAGCTTTATTTGCTTAGCTTGATTTTGCCAGTATTAAGCGTGACTAGTTTGTTATTTTACGATGCCTTTTGCTTTTTCCTAGTCTATTTTTTCCCAATGTCTTTTTTATTATTTTAAAGAAAAGTAATGTTAACAAACTAAAATATAATATTCCTCCAGTATTTAATATAATATCTATTTAACTAATTTCATTAGATTAAAAAAGTTAGGTAACTTAGCTAATTATAATAAATGTGATTTTTTTTTCTAAAACACCATAATCATCTTTATTAATACATTTTCTCGTTCTTCTACTTGATTATGGTCAGAAGAGTATCCATAGGAATAATTTAAAAAAAATTAATAAATATAAAAAATAGATCTTATATTTAAAACTACAATCAATTTAAAATTAGGTTTTATATGAAGATCCTATATTAACATTCGGCAGTGGAGCTGCCATGTTTGTTTTTCCATGAAAGCACATGCTCCTGCTGTCTCGTGTCTGTTTCTACTTCGCGCTTAGCACAACGTCGTTTTAGCTATTTTGGGTCAAACAAAACAATTGAAGAGTTTTACACTTTGGGCTCAGTTGAACAACTTATTTACTTGGGCTTTGTTTGGGTTCCGTTTTGTAATTTGATCGATTTGGAAAGTTAGACTATGGAAGATGGATAACATTTTCGGTAAATATATTAATTAGACCATTAGCCTCTTTGTTAATCTTTTATTGGATAACTATTTTCAAGTGGACAATTTTGGAGAACAAATAGAAACAATCAACAAACTTTCGATTATGATAAGCGGTCTTATCTTCATAATGATAAAGATACAAGCTCAGATCCTGTATCTTTATTGAGAGGATTTTAACGTTAACGCTTCTGACTTAAAAGAGATTAATCTCAAATCTAAAATAACTTAAAAGACACACTGAGTTATGCCAAAAATAAATAAAATAAAGAAAACTTCCTCAAACGGGTCTATAAAGCAAACTCAACACTACAGACCATAAAGAAAAACTTCCCTCAAACGACTTATTACTATTTGGTTATTACAAAATTACAATACTGTGAAATTTTTTCCTCTTTCCTGCCTCAGGAAAGACCAAAAAGGTCAAAATGAATAAAATTTGTAAAAACTGTTGGCCGTCTTTTGAACCTGCTGATTGGAAATCCGTGTTTTAGTTGTTGCAGATGTTGTTGGGTTAGTATTTATGTTACTCCTCCGGTTTTAAATATAATTATACTACAAAATATGTCTTATATTTAAAATCAGATAGAGTAATTTATTGTAATGCATTTCTACATTGTGCCCCCAATTTAGTATTGACTCAAGATTAATTGATGATTTTTGTTTTTGTGTTTTTTGCTAAATAAATTGACTTTTATTAAAAATTATTTTTTAAATATTGTTATCGATTAATATGATCATTTAGCGTGAGAAGAAAAACCCAATGCGGCTTAAAGGGAAAAGCACGTAGGAAGCTTATATATTACCCAATACGCACTTTAAGATCATTCCATCTTCATCTTTTTCCTTCTTACGGTTTTGTTTTGCTTTGTGGTCAGAAGTGAGAAGATCGTTATGACCTTGAAGGTGCCAAATGTGGATATTTTCAAACACTCCCACCATAGTGTGTTTGAACCGCCAAACAGCATAAGTGGAGATTCGGTCAATATATTTCCAAACCTAACCCCATTTCCGTTCCTCCCATTCACATTCTCGGCCAATCCTATGTGTTTGATGATACAATGATACTACCGTAATGATTAAGGTACAGGCGCCTCCCGTGCAACCTTAAAAGCGACTCATTGGGCCAACCATTCCCGAGTTTCAACGCCCACGTAACCTCAAATCTCCCCCCCCCCCAAAAAAAAAAAAAAAGAACCAAACATTTGTTTTTCAAATCAATTTCCTGGCTGTCATGTGTTTTTATTTCGAAAATGTCTTCTTAGTTCTTACTGCTAATGCTATGCTTTGTATTCTGTTGGATGAGGGAATATTCCTTTTCCCTCAAAAAAAAAAAAAAAACCTTGCACGTCTATAACAACGTCATCATGACCTCACTAGCTATGACTATGGGGGAGAATATTACGCCCCCACCATATATTACGCATTCTCACATGGTCATATCCGGAGCAAGTCTCGTGGGGTCACAGGGAATCACTTTAATATCATTCTCAGCACTATTAATTTAATTATTAATATTGATTTCATAGCTGGTCATTAATCCACGACGGGCTCCTATGTGTGTGTAAATATATATATATATATATATATAATATTGACAATGTCTTCTCTAATTTGTCACTCACCGGCCTTACAGACCAATTACCCAGGTGCAGGAGGCACGTCATGGCCCCTCCACAACTTTTAAAAATAAAAAGCAGCCAATGATCGCTTCAACTGCAAGCGCACACTCAGCAGCACACTTCACTAGGATTCGTGTAGGGGTGTTCAAGAATGACCTGTCCCGGTCGGCCCGTTCGGGTCCAGGTCTTATTGGAACGGAATGGATCCGTTTCGAAATTTTTCGGCACGGGACAAAAGATGGACCGGGACGGGACGGGACACGGGACGGGGTCGTCCCGTCCCGGTCTTTTTTTTTTAATTTTTTATCCCATTTATATAATATTATTTTTTTCATATTTTTTAAGATTTGAGACTATTGTATGGAACTATAGATATATTTATTTAGAGTTTTTATATTTGTTAATGATTTGAGATTATTGATGATTAGAATTTTTAGCAAGTTTTTATTGTGTTAAAAGCTTTTGTTTAGAGTTTTTAATGATTATTATATGTAATATTTTAAGTTTTTATTTAAGAGTGTCCAAACAAATAAATAAAAAATAAAAAGATGTTTTTATAAGGTTTAAGCCCAAAAAAACATAATTAAAAAAATCATATTTTATTTAAAAAAATTTTAAAATTTAAAAGAAATTAAAAAATTAAAAAAAAAAAAGGGTTCGGGATGTCCCGGATCCGTCCCGTCCCGACCGGGACCGGGACAACCCCGGGACGGGCCGGGACACGGGATAGAAAATTTGTCCCGTTACTGTTCACCGGAACGGAACCGAGACGGGCCTGTCCCGGTCCCGATCCGTCCCGTGAACAGCCCTATTCGTGTTGCGTTATGTATCATGATATGGTACTCCTGCTTTTTATGTTTTTTTTTTTTTTAAACATGAGCAAATGTTCAACATGGATCCTTTTTATGAAAAAAAGAAAAAAAAACTAACTTTTTTAAACCCCATGACTTGTTGGTTCTATATATAATACAGTTTAAATATATTTTATATAAATAAAAAAATCTAAACTATGTTGGCTTTTTGTTAAAATATAATAACTTTTTAATTTTATTCCTATTTAATATATACACATTTTAAAAAAACTATTTACACTATAATAAATAAATAATAAAATAATATATTCATCCTAAAAATTCAATAAAAATAACTTATAAGTAAAATCAAGAAATCTTTTTTCTCTGTCTTATAAATAAAATTATAGGAGTAATTAATATATCAGAATAACACACGTCACTGAATTGGTTAGAAAAAGGGGTCAATGAAGATATCATCCCTGAAAGAGTGACGATCAGTGGGGGGTATTATATGGGACGTGGGTGTGCGTAAGTAAAATAATTAAACAAGAAAACGGGATCTTGTCTCGTTGCCTCACTTGGCGAGGCCGAGGACCGAGGTGTCCTGCTTCCATGCACGCCTTTGGTTTTGGTATCCTCATTTTCCCAGGCTTCATACCTCATCATAACCCTCCAATCCATAATCTGTGTCTATATATAGATAGATATATATACATTTCAGCCATTCTTTTAAATATTTTCCAATTATATATCTTAATGTCCATTTATCACAAATATTACCACTAATGCATAGTATATGGGTGTTAAGCGTTGCTTCACTTTTACTTGTACACCGAGACTAAAAATGTGTTTGGTATGAGGGATTTGGAAGGAATGGGAGGGAGAAGAAAGGATTTTAATCATTTCCTCTTATTTGGCAATACACAAATTTTAGGAGGAAAGGAAAAATATAATATTTTGTCATGTTGTGACCATTATACCCATATCTTGAATAAAATAAGGACAAAATTGTCCATGTTAAAATATTTTTTCCTCTCCTCCCCTGATGAACCAAACAAGGTAATATTAAAACTCCTCCCCTCCCTCCTTTTTTTATAAATCCAAACAAGGTAATATTAAAATCCTTCTACTCTCTTCTCATCCTCTCCCCTCCATTAAAATCCCTCATTCTCTATTCTCTCATTGAGCCAAACAGACCCTAAAAGTGAGTAGTTAATATCAACATTATAACAAACATAATTGAACAGCCTGAAACAATTTTTGAAGCATGGAAAAAAAAAAAGTTTGGCTACTTCTGATGTGAACTCAGACACGCTCAAAACGACCTTAATTAAATGCTTGTGGGTTAGCCCTCACGCGGGTCACATAATGTATTCAAAGATTAAGCTCCATATGCATTATAATTAAAAGGATTTGGTTTGGAAATTAAAGCAATGGCCTTACCTAGCCTTTGGAAAAAAAGAGGTACTATTTCTTCCGATGGATTGTGACTCGAATCCTAAGATTTAATTAGCGCTGTGATGTTAAAAAAAACAAATCAGGGAGTCTCACTGCTTCTGTGTGTTGACTTTAATGACCCTTTGGCTCTCCATTTGGATTATAGCGACCTCCATTTTCAACATCGTCCACCCCCATCCCAGTCTATTATTCAAAGTTGACCAGAATAAATTTGGTGGGGACCCAAAACATGCACTGCCTCTTGGCTAGTGCTGCCTAAACGCCCACCCCCAAGTCCATATACTATCTCTTATTCTAACATCTCTCGTATTAACAGAGAAGAAATTAGATTTAGTTCTAAATATAACACCAATTTATTTTTTAAAATTAATTTATTTTACTTACAAACTGGTATATAATCTACGATTGTATGGGACACTTTAAAAACATCACATTACTTTTGTTACAATTACTTGATTTACTTAGTTTTTTTAATCTGTTCAAACTGGTGAAATACTAGTTCTGGTTCCTAGTATAAGAGATGCTTAACTAATTGGTGTAGATTAATGATATTAATTAAATTAATTATTTGTAAGAAATATGAGCTGATTTTTCTAAAACATCCTTTTCTTCATGACAAGAACTTTCTTTAATATGCATAATTAATAATCAATAGGGACATTTTAGAGCATGAATCATAAATCTGAGAGATAAAATGAATTGAAATCTAAATACTCCTCCGGTCCTTAATATAAGACCCATTTAACTAATTTGATTAGATTAAGGAAGTTAGGTAAGTTAGTTAATTATAAGAAAAGTGACACATTTTCCTAAAATACCATAATCATCTTTTTTAATACTCTCTCTCCCTCTTCTACTTGATTATGATTAAGGGTGTATCCATAGGGGTAATTTAGAGAAAATTGATAAATATGATAAATGAGTCTTATATTTAGGATTAAAACTAACTCAAAAATTGAGTCCTATATTAAGAACCAGAGGAGTATACCAAATTTAATTCACAACTAGCTAAGTATGTAAGAATACTTTTTGCTCTCTTGCACACTGTAGTTCATATCCTAATTCCACCATGCTGATGTCTAATTTTTCTCTCTATTTTCTTTTCAAAATTTCCGGGCAGTTCATTAGCTTGATATCAGGTAATAGTAGTAAACACGGACGGAATAATTAGCTAAGAATGTTATTTAAAATATTAAAACATGTAATATCATCCACCATCCAACATAATTCGTGTTTGCCAGACGAGCCTCCTAGTTTCCGGATGGACGTATTGTGTAAGGGCCTCTTCGGCGTCGTGGTGATCTACTTCTTCTTCTGGAAGCACGTGATCACTTATTTCTTAACAATCAGTACTAAACTACTAATAATAATCAACATATCAATAATCAATAATAACAATTACCATCAATATTAAAAAAAAAAGTAGCGAGGGAGAGGGAGAGAAGGGAGGTGGACCCACCCAGCATTTCAACTTGGTGGCAGAAATACGGACGATGTCTTCACATTCGTCTCGTCCAGCTCTCTCCTGTGATATTTTAATGCACGCAAGTGGCCTCGCCTTCAACAATCAATGCCTTCTCTTCCTTCCCACCATCCCCCCACGCCACCTGTGCTATTTAATGTTCCCAGTTCCAACCCACAATATCCAAAATTCAAAACCGTCCTTCTTTTTCCCATTTTTATATTCTTATTTTATCATTATATATAATAATAATAATTCACTCATTCACCCAACCAACACGCATTTATTTTCAATTGCTGTCATTAGTTTCATTTCATCAGTCTTTTCTGCAGCGTATTAAACCTTCCCATATTTTCTCCGTACCAAGTAGCATAGAATATTGCAAAAACAACCTTCGATCAAGTTAATTTTGTGCAGGAAAAAGTAGTTCTTGGATCCGTCAAAACCATCGTCAACCCACAAACCGAAAAATCGTCTCGCGTTTTACAGTTCCCCTATCCTCGAGAAAAAGGCAACCCCCGGATCTCTCATCGTCCAAAAAGACTTCAGAGAAAAAGCCAGGGCCATACTCGTGTCCGCAAATCAACTTGTCTCTTTTCTTTCTTCACCCTTTTGTCAAACTTGTATAGGGGTGTGGTCAACCATTATCTATCTGCCCCTTTTTATGCTCTGTATTCTTCCTTCTCCAGCAATTCATTAACTGCTACGATTGGGACAACATTCTCAGTTTCCTTAATTATGCTTCTCTCACTCTCATTTCATTACTAAATGAAGAGTACTCACCTGCCTTATCTGGTCTTGCCTTCTTCGGTTTCAATCCAGTTGAGCACCCTTCGACTTTGGTTATCTGGGTCAATTCTTCGGGTGGCTGTGCTTGAATTTATGTCCACGGTTTTTGACGCTGTTCATTGGCTTTGAAATCTGAACAAAGAAGATTCCGGCGGGAGGTGAAGATTTTTGCGTCTGTAAATTTATCTTTGCTCGTGTTCATATTTGCCCCTGGCACTTGTCAGCTGTCTCTCTCGCGGTCGGTGACGGACACGATTTCGTTTTCTTCAAGGCAAGCTTCAAGTTCCAATAGGCACTGAAAAGTAAGCGAAATTCGCCGTCAAAAGTTGTTCCCTTTCTTCCATAGTGCTCTGGTCGTAGAATTCACACCCTTAGTTTCAGTTCTTATTGGTTCAATTCCGAAAATCTGACTCGTGAATCATCTGTGGGACAGGTATCTCTTCTTCAAACCTTCGGATCTTCTTTTCTCTGCTCAGAATACGATTTCGACAGTTTTGTTCCCGGTTCGCGACTTTAAATTTCCCTAAATAGTAACAGCTTTTCGGAGACTTGTAATAGGAGCCATGAAAAAAACCTGGTCTTTCATCCATATCATCGGCGTTCTTGGCCTGTCTAGTCTACTCTTGTCTGAAATCTGTCTGGCTGGCATTCAGAGCATCGGCTCTATCACTCCAGGATTTCAAGGCACTCAAATGAATTGGATTGACAAAAACGGCATGTTTCTCGTGTCAAATAATGGAGAATTTATGTTTGGCTTCATCACTACCCCGAACGACAACTCATTATATCTTCTAGTAATCGCCCACGGTGACAACTCCAAAGTTGTTTGGACGGCAAACAGAGGCCTCCCTGTTAGTAATTCTGATAATTTTGTGTTCGACAAAACCGGTAATGTCTTTCTACAGAAAGGAAGCGATGTGGTTTGGTCTACAGATACGAAGGGCAAAGGGGTTTCTTCAATGGCATTACAGGACACAGGAAACTTGGTGTTGCTTGCTGACGATAATAGTACAATTTGGCAGAGTTTCGGCCATCCAACTGACACCTTATTGTCAATGCAGGAATTCAAAGAGGGCATGAAACTTATCAGTGAACCTGACCAATATAACTTAACCCACGTTCTGGAGATCAAATCTGGTGATTTTGTTCTCTCTGCTGGTTTTCAAAACCCACAGCCTTATTGGTCTATGCAGAACGAGGACCGCAGAATCATCGATAAAGATGGTAACGCGGTGGCTTCGGCCTCCATTAGCGCAAATTCGTGGAGGTTCTATGATAAAAATAAATCTTTGTTATGGCAGTTCATTTTGGCTGAAGATTCATCAGGCACAAATTCCACTTGGGCTGCTGTTCTGGGAAGTAATGGTTTCATCACTTTCTCTAATCTCGACAGTGGAAGTTCAAATAATCCCTCGCCAACAAAAATCCCAAAAGATTCTTGCAGCACACCTGAACCTTGTGGTCCTTATACCATATGCACGGATGATAACAAGTGTCGTTGCCCTTCGGCTCTGAGATCTCGCGCCAATTGCAAACCAGGGATTGTCTCTCCTTGCGATGGCTCAAATGGATCCGCGGAGCTTGCGGAAGGTGATGATGGGCTTGGTTACTTCGCTCTTGGATTCCTTTCACCATCCTCCAAAACTGATTTGGATGGCTGCAAATCTTCCTGCCTGGGAAATTGCTCATGCCTTGCTATGTTCTTCCACAACAATTCAGGGAACTGTTTCATGTTGGATAGTATAGGAAGCTTTGAGAGTTCTGACACAGATTCAGGTTTTGTTTCTTACATTAAGGTCTCGAGTAACGGAGGATCTGGCTCTTCAGGAGGTGGAAGCAGCAAGAAGCACACTGTGGTGGTTGTAGTTATTGTCATAACAACTTTGCTTGTCATTTTCGTTTTGTTCTATGTGGGACTTAGATACTACAGAAGAAAGCAAAAATCGCCTGAGTCTCCAAGGGGGAGTTCAGAAGAGGACAATTTCTTGGAGAATCTTACTGGTATGCCTGTCCGTTTCAGCTATAAAGAACTGCAAACAGCTACTAAGAACTTCTCTGAGAAGCTAGGGCATGGAGGTTTTGGCTCAGTTTATAAAGGAGTTCAACCAGATGGGACTCTATTAGCTGTGAAGAAGCTGGAAAGCATAGGCCAAGGGAAGAAAGAGTTCAGGGCTGAAGTTAGCATCATTGGCAGCATTCATCATCTTCATTTAGTTCGGCTTAAAGGATTCTGTGCTGAAGGAACTCATCGCCTTCTTGCTTATGAGTTTATGGCAAATGGCTCATTGGATAAATGGATATTCAAGAAAAACGGAGAATTATTGTTGGATTGGGATACGAGGTTTAATATAGCTTTGGGCACAGCAAAAGGGCTTGCGTACCTGCACGAGGATTGCGATTCAAAGATTGTTCACTGTGACATCAAACCAGAAAATGTTCTTCTTGATGAGCATTTCCTTGCGAAAGTTTCAGACTTTGGGTTGGCTAAACTCATGACTCGCGAACAAAGCCATGTTTTCACAACACTAAGGGGAACCAGGGGATATCTTGCACCAGAATGGATCACAAACTATGCCATATCGGAGAAAAGCGATGTGTATAGCTATGGGATGGTGTTGCTAGAGATAATTGGTGGTAGGAAAAATTATGACCCTAACGAGTCTTCAGAGAAATCCCACTTCCCAACCTTTGCTTACAAGATGATGGAAGAAGGGAAGTTAAAAGATCTTCTTGATTCAAAGTTGAAAATAGATGAGAATGATGAAAGGTTTCATATTGCCATCAAAGTTGCATTGTGGTGCATACAGGAAGATATGTCTCTAAGGCCTTCCATGACCAAAGTGGCTCAGATGCTTGAGGGTCTCTGTACTGTTCCTAAGCCACCATCGTCTTCTCCAATGGGTTCTCGCCTGTACTCGTCTTTCTTCAAATCTATGAGTGAAGGTGGCACCTCCTCAGGACCATCAGATTGCAATAGTGATGCATATCTTTCAGCAGTTAGGCTTTCGGGACCAAGATAAAATTGTACCTTTTTCTGGTTTTGTTGAGCCATTCTTGTATATGGTTCCACAGTATTTTTGTATACTTTGGTAGTTACTCGAATTTTGTAATGTGAATTCCCACTCATCTAACACATTATTGCTTTGTGCGCTGTGTTGAAAGTTGAAATTTGAGATACAAGCATTTACGTGCTGTTAAATGTGGCAATTTTGTGTTCCACAGAATTGCCAAAGATGGAGAAGAAATTAAAAGAGCCGACCCTTATTAAAAACACAGCTAATTAAGTGCTTAGTGCTGACTCAATTGAGGCAGAAGACAAGTCAATCTCAACAACCATTTATCATCCTGCTTGTCTGTTGAACTTATGCCTAATTACATTTTGGACTTTTCTAATCTGTCCCTTGTGTTATGGACACTGTGGAGACTGCACTATCTTTGATCATACTCAATTAAATCCTAATCAATCCTCTCCACTCAAACTTCTAAGGCTTCTGAAACGAGAAAGGAAATATATATATATAATCAAACATAAACATAAATGCCCTGTGAAGCGTCAGTGGGTTTGGACGCTTGCATATTCTCATTAGCTGTTTAAGGATTAGAAGCTTCGATCCTTTATGCGCCAAATGTTTAAAATCCTTGCGGCTAGTCCATTCCTAATGGCTCGTTTGTTTGCTGTCGTTAAATTCTTCATTTTCTAACAGACTATCTGATGCTATGCATTTTAGTTTTTATTTAATAAGCTTAGAATCCATTTTTTTCCCCTGCCAACAAGCTTTGAATCCGATTAACCGCATCAACGATTTTGACATGTATCCACAAAAAATATGTACTCTCTTTAATTTTTAATATAAGATGTTGTTTTACTTTTATTTTGATCCTAAATATAAGACTCCAATCTGTTTTGTTTATCATATTTATTCATTTTTTTCAAATATAATTCTTCTAATAATTATAGTTCTAATCAATATACTTGATTAGTAAGGTTATTTTAGAAAAGACAATACCTATTTATTACAAATAACTAACTGAACTTATTTCTTTTATCTTTTCAAATTAGTCAACTAGCTCTTATAATTGGACCGGAGGTAATATATAATTTATAAATGAGTTAATATAATTTTTGGTTTCTTAGATTAGTCTTCATTTTGATTTTAATCCCTCAAGTTTTAAATAATATGTTTTGATCCCTCAAGTTTTTCCTATTTTGATTTTGATTTCTCAATGTTCAAATGATCGGTTTTGATTCTTCAAATTTCAAATCATAAGTTTTTCATATAAAATATTAGTCCCTATAAATTAATCCTTTTTGAAAAATCATACTAAATGTTTAATTTTGCACGCATATTTTTTGGATAAAAAGATAATATTCCAAACTTTAAATGACCTGAGCGGGGTTCCCTCGTGCTGGCGCGGATTAAAAACAAAGACATGCCGAGAAGGCGCTAAAGCGGTGCAAGGGGGCAATTCATTCTCTGCCGTCCATTGGTGATATGGATTCAATTTTCTCCATCTCTAGCCATTCTCTCCTTGGCTCTACTGTTACCTCTTCCTTCTCCCAAATCGACTTTCCCGCCAAATCACAACGGTCGTTTTCGGCGACGCCCAAGTTTCGCTCACACAGGGCCGACGAGTGTGCTGCTGGTGAAGTTATCTTTCTGAACCTTGCTTAATTTTTCAGGATTCGAATATCTCCTGTGTGTGTTGCGTTTGCAATTTACGTCCTCGTATCGCAGGTCATATCGCCTTATCTGCTTCAACTAGCGGAAGGAGAGGGCTACTATTTATGGCCACACTTCCATGTCTTCTTCCTTTAACTCAAATCATGGATTGTCATGGAGCAAGTGCGATCGAGTAAGCTGAGCTTTCTGTTTATGGTTTTTCTTTATCGGCTTTAATTTCTTGACTCTGGCTAGAAAATGCCTTCCGACCTTCCTCCCTTTCAACAAATGAATACGATTTGTAGTAAGTTCCATCCAGCTAAGTTTCCCTTTTGCATTATCATGCCGGATGGATGCTCATTGCTGTGCTACTCTTTTATTCTGATTTAAGGTCAGGTACAAAGGAATATCTGCTTATAAAAGAAGAAGTCCGCAAGGTATTGTCGAAGGGAAAGGCAGCAGGTGTGCTTCGTCTGGTTTTCCATGACGCTGGGACCTTTGAAATGGATGATAATGCAGGTTCGCATCTGAGGGACGTTTCTCCCCAAAAAAAAAAAAAAAGTTCTTGTCTCATGCTTATTCGTTTCCTGGTATAAATAATTTATATTTCGTGTCATTGCAGGTGGCATGAATGGTTCTATAGTCTATGAACTTGATAGACCTGAAAATTCTGGACTAAAAAAATCTATAAAGGCATGTTTCATCTGTCTATTGTTCCTTATGGCCCCTATTTTTTCCGTAATAACATGATTGTATCTTTTATAGATGAAGTTAATCGCTTGTGCATGAACAGTGAATGCAGATTAGTCTTCTATTTTATATGCTGGCTAATGCCATGGTGGATATATTGTGTAGGTTCTGCAAAAAGCGAAGACTCAGATAGATGCTATAAAACAGGTCATTATTGTTTTCTCTGTTAACAGGTGCTAAAACATGTGCAGTAATTATTGATTTGATCCAGGCCAACAAATTTTATTTTTGGTTTTCTCTATCAGTGTCCTGGGCAGACATGATTGCTGTGGCTGGAGCTGAAGCAGTTTCTGTGTGTGGGGGACCAAAGATCCCAGTTTCAGTTGGCAGGCTAGATTCATTGTAAAGTGCCAAGTGCTTAGCTTGTATGCAAGATGTGACTACCAATTTGTTTTTACCGTTGTATCCCACAAATGATCAGTTACATGTGAACTTGATGAAATGGATTCAGATGCTTTCTAAAATTGATGTTCAAGCCTATTATATGGATCATCCTTTTTCAATTAAAAAAATATCGTCCTTCTTCACATGAGAAGAAAATGGTTTGATGGGATTTAATTCATGGATTGTTTACTTACAAATGAGAACCAGATTGTGTGCCTTCTGCTAGTAATATTCCATCTTTTTATGGATAGGGAGCCAGATCCGGAAGGGAAACTTCCTGAAGAATATCTTGATGCTTCTGGTTTGAAGAAATGCTTCCTGAGAAAAGGCTTTTCGTAAGTAGGAAGTCCCATTTATTTTGGCATTTGCCGTGTGTAGTGGTGATTGCCTGTAGTTTTCCATTTGATGTGACCTTGAAGGACAATAAAATGAGTTGATGCTAAGTTCTGATTTTTTTATTAGTTACATACTATGAAAGCAGTGTTTTGATTATCCATCATTTATTATGGATTCTTGGTATGGGTGAATCTGACATCTTGAAGTCTTGATCTTTACCAGAGTAACAAAGGAAATTTATTATTTTACTTTGCTTGTGTATTATTGATTGATGACGGGGCTTTTCTTGCCCAGAACACAGGAACTAGTAGCGTTGTCTGGAGCCCACACGCTTGGTAGTAAAGGTTTTGGAAGCCCAACTTCTTTTGACAACTCATATTACAAGGTTCTTCTGGAGAAGCCATGGACGTCTTCAGGTAAAGTAAGAAATTCATCAAATTAATTTGAAAGCTTGTTTTGGTATTTTGAGAGAAGTTGCTACCAGCTACTATTTTCCAAGTCCTGCAAATGAAGAAAAGCAAAAGGAAAACGAGGTATCAAGTAGACTTACTACAGCATCAATGGTTAGCCTGCTTTGGGTCATAGTGTACCAATCATCCTACAAAATGAAGATCATTCCATGTCATCACACACTCATTTTCTGTGTGGCCGGACATACTCATTACCTAAGTGCTATTGTCAATAATTTTTATTGTTGTTTTGACGTTCTTCTGCTGTTCTCTTCTGTACAGGCGGTATGTCAGGTATGATTGGCCTTCCTTCAGATCACGCACTTGTTGAGGATGAGGAATGTTTAAGGTTCTCGTCTAAACACTGCCTTCTTTTTTTTTTTTTTTATCCCCGGGATTAGAACAGGGCTAAACTAGCCTTGTAAGATATTGAACCCACAACCTCCCCCAAGCAAGGAGATTGCCCCTAGGGCAATGCGCTCATGTGCGTCTAAATACTGCTCTAAACCACCCATAATATGTGGTACTTACCTCAGATCACTCACTCCTAGTTGTTACAATTACATTATAATATATCAATACCAATATAAAATATAAAATCTATAATAAGTCATGCTATCCATAAGTTATAAATAGTTCAATTTATTTCACATGGTCCATACACTGCGTGGATAAATGTTTACATATAGTATAAAATGTTAGGGTTCTTTATGATAGTATTGAAGAATGATTTTATTTTGCTGCTTATATATATATTTTTTTTGGCTCCTGGTTGAAGAATGAACTTTGAATAAAGTTTACTTTACACGCCGGTTATAAGTTAAAAATAATGAAAAATAAGAAATATTTCCCACTTTCCTTTCACTCCACTAAATAATCATATATGCAATTTTCCCATCAATCGAGCAAAGTATGAGTACAGGAACTTGAACTTGTTTTTGCCAATTCTTCATCTGTAATACTCTGTTTATATTCCTC